GACTCAAGTTTTGGTTAAGAATCCATGGGGACCCTCAGTCTCTATTCTTAAAGGGGCAGGAGTGAAAGCCAGGAGAGGAGAGGTGAGTCACAGTTGGATCCTGGAAGGCTTTCTAAAGTTGGTGGCACCCCATAAAGACCTTAATAAGTTAGACATAGTTTCCACAGAAACAAATTCACCCATGTTAAACAAATGAAGATTGAATTGATTTTCTGCTCAGGTCAATAAATAAGATAAATTGACCAGAAAAGAAAAATACTGATCAAGGTGCACTGAACATCAACATTTACTAAGAGCAGAGGGAGGAGAAACATATATATCAGAAAAATGGAAATGTCAATAGAGCATTAGGGCAGTGGCTTGGTTTCCAGTTAAGGTCTGTGTTTGAGGTTTAGTATTTCAGTGAGGTCTTTAAAAAGAGACAGAGAGTAGAATTAAGCTATTACAATAAAACTTCATTTAGTTGGACTGATTGCTGGGAAGGCCAATTGAAAATAAAAAGTCATTGAACTAAAATGCACAGATATGAGACAGCAGAAAGAGCACTGTATTCAGAGTCATGAGACCTAGGTCAGTGGCCTGTGACTTCTTAAGGGCAGAAAATCATGCATTATTAACTTTATATCCCCTTTGCCCAGCACAGAACCTCACATGTAGATGGAGTCTTAGATTGATTTCTGTGAAGAGCAGACCTCGAGTCAAAGATTTGGGTACCTGTAGTTGATTTGGGAGCCCTTGTGTGCAGTGGTTATGTGCTTGGCTGTTAACTGAAAGATTGGCAGTTCGAACCCACCAGCCTCTCTGCAGGATAAAGATGTGGCAGTCTGCTTCTCTAAAGATTTACAGCCTTGGAAACCCTTTGGGGCAGTTCTATTCTGTCCTACAGGGTCGCTATGAGTTGGATTTGACTAGATGACAACGGGTTTAGCTGATTTAGGAGTACCCTGGGTGGCACAAATGGTTAAGCACTCAGTTACTGACCAAAAGGTTAGCAGTTCAAGTCTACCCAGAGGTAACTCGGAAGAAAGGCCTGGCTATCTACTTCTGAAAAATCAGTCACTGAAAATTCTACGGAATGCAGCTCTACTCTAAAACACCCGGGTCACCATGAGTTAAAATTGACTCAAAGGCAACTGGTTTTAGTTGATTTGGGAGGTGACCCCAGGAAGCATGTGACAGGACTGGGAAATGAGACAAAGAAAGGAGGAATACCAATAAGGGTGTGTTAATGAGCAGGTTACCATGGTGGGCAACGGGCTCAATCTTGCTGGGACCCCTTTGAAAGACTATGTAGAATACATCCCCAAATCTTTCTACTAAAGGGTAAGGAAACTGGGTATTTTTCCACCAACTCCCCGTCCCTCATTTGTTGAGGGTCATGCCTAGGAAAATTGCCTCCCAACAACCCTTATGCATGGAGATTTAGGAACCTGAAGTGAGTTCATGAAGCTGCAGGTGATTGCTGCCAAGAACCAAGGGAAGATGGGAGGGACAAAGACAGGCATCAATGCTAGCAAAAGTGAAGTCTGTGCACTGTGACCACTGTCAAGTCATTCACTCTCTGGGCATCAGCATTCCAACTCTAAAAAGTGAGGTTTGGATTTTCACATTCTCTCCAAGACTGAGTGTCAATAATTCTGAAAAAGCAGATGGCGGTACATAGAACCGAGGATTAGAAGCCCTACAGGAAACTGTTTCTCACACAGATAAAAATGATCTATAATGAGCATTCCACTTGTTTGCTTTTAAGTGTGAGCTTTCAAGGGTTTGAACACGTAGCCGGAGATATATATGTATATCTATATGCACTGAGGCATTGTTTGTAACAGCGAAAAATTGAAAGCTACTTAAATATTTTTTAATCAAGACAGAGCTGAATAACATTGGTGTATTCATATACTGGAATGTTCTCATGCAGTTAAAAGGAATGAACTGAATCTGTATGTGCCAACATGAGTAGAGCTCAAAAAACATTTCTGAGTGAAAAAAAAAGCAAGATGCCAAATGTTATATATAGTAAGGTATCATTTTAAGAAAACAAAGACACTATTGGGTAGGTTACATGTATGGAAGAGTACTTTTAAAGGACTGCAAAATGACAACACAAACTCATTTAAAGTTATTTTGGAAAGATAAAAACCATATTTACATGAGTGGCCACTTCTGGGGAAGGGAAAGCAGGAACAAAGGAAGGAGGAGATAATCAATGATGAACGTGGGCTGGGGGGTAGTTGTTATGGCTTGAACTGTGTCCCCAAAAAATATGGGTTGGAATCCCAATCCCTATACCTATGGATGTAATCCCATTTGGGAATAGAGTTTTCCTTGTTACATTAGTGAGACCATATCAGTGCAGGATGTGTCTTAAACCTAACAAATTTTGAGATATAAAAGGAGTAGATTAGGCACAGAAGCAAGCAAGCACAAATGAGGGAAAGATAGATGCTAGGTGGTGATTTTCAAGGAATACTCATAATAACACTAGAGAAGCTGTTGTTGTTACATGCTGTCGAGTCAGTTCCAACTCAGAGTGACCCTACGTACAACAGAATGAAACACTGACTGGTCCTGCACTATCCTCACATTTTTTGTTATGCTCGAGCCAATCGGTGTAGCCACTGTGTCAGTCCATCTCGTTGAGGGTCTTCCTCTTTTTCGCTGACCCTCTACTTTACCAAGCATGATGTCTTTCTCCAGGGACTGATCTCTCCTGATAACACGTCCAACATGAGACAAAGTCTCAACACCCTCACTTGTAAGGAGCATTCTGGCTGTACTTCTTCCAAGACAGATTTGTGTGTTCTTCTGGCAGTCCATGATATATTCAGTATTCTTCATCAACACCATAATTCAAAGCTGAGACAATAATTTTCCCCCAGAGCAGACAGAGACAGCCTTCTCCTAGAGCTAGTGCCTTTAGACTTCTAGCCTCCTAAACTGTGAAAAAAATAAATTTCTGTCCTTTAAAGCCACCCCCTTGTGATACTCTGTTGTGGCAGCACTAGGAAACTAAGAGTAATAAAAGTGAGTTTAGCTTTAGTGATGCTGTTCTAATTTATAAAAGCAGAACTGATTACTGTATATTTGAAACTAAAATTAAAAAAGAGAAAGAAGTCTAGTACACAGTCTGGTATCACAGGAGGCTATGCAGTAATGTGGAAAGAGTTTGCAAAATGGAGTCAGAAAGATCTAGTAATTCTAGCAAATAACTTCCCTGCTAATAACTTCTGCCTCCCCAGTTGCAAAATGCGATGCCGACCTCACAAAGATGCGTGCAGATGGATGTGGTGGCCTCCATCTGGAGCATGATTTGTATTCACCGACTGTTTGTTCCCTGCTCTCTTGAAAACAGGACATGCACTTTCTAGCTGTATTTCTTATATTTAAAAAAAAAAAAAATCATTCCTTTACTGAGTGGAAAGGTGAAGTTCCTGCCTAATCCCCATGGAATCAGGAATCTGATCTAAAGGACTCTGAATTAAGGAGATTTTTAATGTTTTAACTGCTAGGGTGTCATCAGCTTTGGAACTGAACAAGGTTTCAGCTGAACTTTAAAGTGAGTTTTTGCCACACTTTGTGGTACCAATGAGTATTAACAGGGTGCCCTTCCACAATGACCATAACAGGCTGTGGTGTAAAGTCAAAGGGTCACTCTATGGGCCTGAGTTAGAACTGCTGAGTTTAAGCACCATCAGGAGAAGCTGCTAGGACAGACAGACATCTTCTGCAATTGTGCCCTAAGCTTTCTGGGCCTTGTCCTTTTACCTAGCCCGTCCTCCACCTGGAATTCTATCCCTTCCCCCAATGTTCACATGCCCACATTCTGTTTTTCTCTGTGTAGCCTTCATGGATAAACCCCCTGTCTTAGTTATCCAGTGCTGCTACAACAGAAATACCACAAGTGGATGGCTTTAACAAAGAGAAATTTATTTCCTCACAGTTAAAGTAGGCTAAAAATCCAAATTCAGGTCATCAGCTCCAGGGGAAGGCTTTTTCTCTCTGTTGGCCTTCTCCTCTTTGGTGTTCTCCCAGACTAGGAGCTTCTCTGCACAGGGACCCCGGTCCAAAGAATGCGCTCTGCTCCCAGCACTGCTTTCTTGATGGTATGAGGTCCCCAACTCTCTGCTTGCTTCCCTTTTCTTTTATCCTGAGTGATAAAAGGTGGTACAGTCCACACTGCAGGGAAACTCCCTTTACATTGGATCAGGGATGTGACCTGGGTAAAGGTGGTGTTACTATCCCACCCTAATCCTCTTTAACATAAAATTACAATCACAAAATGGAGGCCAACCACACAATTCTGGGAATCATGGCCCAGCCAAATTGGTACACATATTTTTTTGGGGTCATAATTCAAACCATGATACCCCTCTACCTCATAAAAATAATAATGCTTATGATGGTGATAATAGTTACCATTTATAGAGTACAACATTAGTTAGCAGGTATCATGCTGGGTTCTTGATTTCTATTATGTCATCTAACCCTCAGGCAACCCTCAGAGCTAGGCATCTGTAATCCCCTTTCATGTATGAGGACTCCAAGGCTCGCAGAGTGTGGAAGGATGTGAACAGGAAAAGTGTCACTCTTTTCCAGGGGCTTTGCTTTTTGACCCCCTCTTCCATTACGGTGGTGCAGTAGTTAAGAGACCGGCTACAGACCAAAAGGTCAGCAATCTGAATCCACCAGCCGCTCCTTGGAAACCCTCTAAGGCAGTTCTACCCTGTCCTATGATGTCGCTATGAGTCGAAATCAACTTGACAGCAATGGGTTTGGTTTTGGTTTTTGGTCCATTACCATGGCTTCCTCATCTATGGTTTGTGTCAATACATGATCTGTAGACAGAAATCTTTTTCAAGGATGTTCCTTGCTGAAGGCTGTTTTCCTGCTTAACCCTCAGAAACAGAAAGCTTTAAAAGTTAAAGTACAAGTCAGAGAGAAAAGGTAGAGCCCCATGAAATTATCTAAAGGAATAAGTAAGAACCATTCTTCAAAGAGGGGCAGTGGTGGTTCAGTGGTAGAATTCTCGCCTTCTATGCAGGAGATCCAGGTTCGATTCCTGGCCAACGCACCTCATGTGCAGCTACCACCTATCTTTCAGTGGAGACTTGCATGTTACTGTGATGCTGAACAGATTTCAGTGGTGCTTTTAGACTAAGACAGACTAGGAAGAAAGGCTTGGCGATCTACTTCTAAAAAATCAGCCAATGAAAACCCTATAGATCACAATGGTATGTTCCCTTTGTGCATGGGGTTGCCAAGAGTTGGGGTTGACTCAGTGGCAGTTACCAACTGTAACAACAAGAATTCTTCAAGGAAGAATTCCCAGAATGTAGACAAAGCAGGAGGCCCACCTTCTATACCAGCTAATCCCACAGGACAGATGAGGAGGAAGATCCAACATCTGACCAACGGTGCAGCACCTCAAGGTTATACCCAATATGTATGTGTGTGGAGGTGTGTGGACAAAAGCCTCAAAAGGTCATCCCAGGTTGCAGCACTTCCCAGAATGATCTCCATCACAAAGGCCCAAGGGATTCTTTTTTACTCTGCAAGTCCAAGAAGGAGCTAAGAGCTGACTAGGTGAGTTCTGTAGTAGAGAAGCTCTCTCATTACCAGTCAAAGTGTCCCTCACCTGCTCCCTGTCTCCTCTCTCTTCCCCCTGCCCTCTCCCTATCTACCTCCTTTTGTTTCTTGGGTGCCAGAAGAAAGAAGTGTGAGGAGACAATAAGGCTACTCTGTGAAGCAACCAGGAGCCAGAATCTTTTCTTTAGGGCCTCTTCTTTGCTATTGTTTGCTCCTGGTTTGCCAGGGGGTAAAGCGATTTACCACATCTCACGAACAACTTCATTTTTTTAAACTTGACTTCCTTAAAACCAAGATGGCAGTGTGAAGAAATCTGTTGAAGTTTAAACATAGAATCAGTGGATACGGCTGCAATTTGAACTGAGTTCTGACTCCGAAACCTTTTTTGGGACTATCAAGACTGTGTATACGTGTTTCTGTTATAAAGCTCCATTATTATTATGGCAATTTTACTTTAGCTCCCTTTATATGTCTATATTTATGTACATCAATGATATCATTGAGAGCAGGACCCAACTTGGGTTCATCTCTATGTCTCCTTGGCGTGCTTAGCATCATGCCAAGAATATAGTAAGTGCTCAGTCAGTAAATGATTGGGGAACAAATGGATGACCCACGGGTTATTTGTGTGTGCCGACCCCTAAGCTTCCCTTCACATGACACCTCAGAGCAGACAGCATGGTGATGTGGAAAGGGCTGCTCTCACTTGCCTCCAGGAATCTTCCTGGAGCACAGTTCACTCCTCTCCCTCCAAGTTTGGCCTCATGAATGCCTGCTAATTGTTCATGTCCCAGATGAACTGAACTTGTGCATGGAAGCCTCCCTCGGTCTCCCATGGTTGGTGGCTTCTGCTGGGTGTTCAGGGCCCTATCCCTCCACTATCCTGGCCAGCATTGCACTAGAGTGTGGGTGGTGTTTGTCTGTGCCTCTCATTAGACTGCAAGTGGCTGACGACAGGAGTAGCAACGTTCTTGTTTCCAGTGTGGCTCTGGTGCCTCTCACAGAGCCTGGCATGAAGTAGAGGTTGAATAACTCTTTGGGACCTGAGTGTCCCCAGGACGCAGGAGCATCTGGGTTAGGGCTGTCATAGGTGTTGACACTTCCATAGGGACTGACACTGTCATAAGTCCACACAATTATTTCTTATTAGGACACAGGCGGATTGGAATATAACCATAAGGTAGCACGCAGGACTGCAGGACACCACTCAGAGCTTGATCAGACTGTTCATATTAAAGAGGCCATATTGTGTTGTAGCCGTGCAGTGTCACCCAGGAAGTAGTCTGTCTCCTCTCCAATATGGACTATGTCACTTACAAGTTGTAGGACTTTAGGCAATATACTTAAATTCTCTGGGCCTCAGTTTCCTTATCTGTAAAATGAGAATAATAAAATCCCCTCTCAGAGGATTAAATAAGTTAATGCAGGCAAAGCACTGGGAATAGTCTGGCATAGTGTAAGTGCTATAGAAATGTCAGCTATTATGAATCTGCCCATGGAACGGTGTCTATGTCTGTTCCCTACAGCAAGAAGGCCTGGGGCCATTTCCATTTTTTTTAATTCACATGACAAAACAGGATGACAAAAATAAACACAAGTTTAAGGCTGCGTGATGAACATCTTTCAGTTCTGCCAGTGCATTTTTATGGTAACATGGTAACGTCCAAGCTCCCTGTGTTTGTAACTCTCAGTGACTGTCAGGCCCAGGCCACATGCCCTCTAGCTCCTTGAACTTCCTCCTCTCAGTCTCCCCCAAGCCCTCTAAAGGTCCCCCTAAGGTGCTATCTTTTGCAGAGAAAGAGGAGCAAGACCAGCCTCCTTAAATCCTCCCCCTCCTCAGAGGCCTCATGCCACAAACTCTTTCCTTGTGGAGCCTTGGCTATTTCAGGAAACTGAAAAGCCAGCCCAGGGAGCTAATCTTGGGCTTCACTTCTGGGGGGGGCTGGGGTAGGTGGGGGTTGGCAGATTTTCCTGTATAGGAGAACACGTGTTCCTTTTGAAAAGTTCTAGGGGAAATAAATGTACAACCTATTGTAGGCTGCGAGAAGCCACCAGCGGGAGTTGATGCTATACAAAAGGGGCATTTGTAACAGCACAAAACACTTAGCACTTTACCAAGACCTGCACAGGATATATAAAAGGAGACGAGGGCCATTGACTCTGCCAGGAAAGCAACGTGCCCTGAATGCAGGACGGCCAATCACACTGCCCAAACACACAGTCTTCATCCTCAAAGATGCCACCGGCTCCTCCAGTGCAGGAGAGAGCATTTGAACGCAGGTAGGCAGAGGCCAGGCCTGTCTTCTTTCTGGACCTCCCACTCAGGTACTTTTCTTTGTCTTCCTAAGCAGACAGGCCTGCCCCTAATATTTGCAGTGCCCTGGGCAAAACTACAAATAGAGGCAAATAGATTGTGGTGGTTGTTAGGTGCCATTGAGTCAATTCCAACTCATAGCGATCCTATGTACACAGAAAGAAACATAAACATTATAGCCAAGAAAACCCTATGGAGTGCAGCTCTACTCTGTAACACATGGGGTCGCCATGAGTCGGAATCGACTCGACAGTAAGGAGTCTGTTTTTTTGGTTTTTGGACTCCTTGGAGATCTGGACCAGAACATGGCCGGGGAGAGGGAGTGGCAACATTCGAGGTGCCCAGGGCACCCAGATAAGTTTGGGAAGCACGGGATAAGTGATTCCCTAGCAGTTTTTTAGCTTTAAGAGCCTAGAAATGAAATGCCCTCACTGAGGAGACATTTAGGAAATGGTTTCTGCTCTTAGACCAAACCTGTTTTTCTAAAGCTCTTGCCTGTTTCACCTTTTCACTTTTGCCCTCTCTCCACTGTGACACAGAAGAAGCAGATCCCTGCCGTCATCCAAGTCTCTGTTTTCTGCCTAAGTCCAGGGAGAGACCTCCTGTGTGCCAGGCCCTGTGCTGGTTGCTGGAGGTAAACAAGAGAGGCTGCATAGAACCTGCCCCCAGGGAGCTCAGAGGCTAATGGGGAGAAGACACTCGGGTCCATGTGAACTCACTAAATAACACATGTGATAAAGATCAAAGTGGATGACTGGCAGAATAGATATCTAGGGGCAAGTCCTGGGATGTCAGCCTATAAGGGAAGGGGAGGAACCTTTTTATTAAATATTAGAAAAGGAAATAGCAGCAGAACCCTGTATTCAAACATTTCTTTACGTGAAATCTGGACATAAGAAACTGAAGAGTGCAGAGCTGCTCTGCTGGGTTAAAGCAGAATAGGGATAGGGTATAGAGATTTCAGCCCTCCAAACCTCCCCCTCTTTTCCTCCTATCTTAGTTATCTAGTGCTCCTATAACAGAAATACCACAAGTGAATGGCTTTAATAAAGAGAAATTTATTCCCTCACAGTTTATGAGGCTAGAAGTCTGAATTCAGGACACCAGCTTCAGGGAAAAGCTCTCTCTCTCTGTTGGCTCTGGCATCAATTTTTCCCTGGTCTAGGAGCTTCTCAGTGCAGGGACTCCAGGTCCAAAGGACACACTCTGCTCCTGGCTCTTCTTGATTGGTGGTAATGTGGTCCCTCTCCTCTGTTCGATTCTCTCTTTTATATCTCAAAAAAGATTGACTGAAGATACAACCTAATCCTGTAGACTGAGTCCTTCGTCATTAACATAGCTGCCTCTAATCCTGCCCTATTAACATTATAGAGGTAGGATTTACAACACATAGGATAATCACATCAGATCACAAAATGGTGGACAACCATACAACACTGGGAATCATGGCCTAGTCAAGTTGACACACATTTTGGGGGGACACAATTAATGCATAACCCCTCCCATCTAAAAGAAGCCCCTCAACAGAATGCCAAGTTTCTGGCAAGCTGTATTCCTAACACTTTTGCTCTAGTCCAACCTCTTGATTTAGAGGAAGAATTATGTGCTAGGTGCCCATCATCTGCTATGGACTGTCAACTTGTAGGAGATGGGGCCTGAATCTTGTTCCTCTTTGTACCCTGTAGCCAGCATGTGGTAGCCACTCAGAATGTGAGTCGAAATAGATTGAAGGAGGATGCCACCCCAAAATGCAAAGGGACTACGTGAGGTCATTCAGACAGTTAAATGGCATGTTAGAAATCCTTTTTTTGAAAGTCAAGGAAAAATATGGATGAGAAATCCCAGGAAAGACAGAAACCAGAGAGAAAAAGGATGCATAAGAACCTAAAAATACTTTGAAGTGAGAGCCTTATATTATTATGTCAATAAATATAAATATCTATATGCAAAAGAAAACTCATTGCTGTCAAGTTGATTCCAACTCATGATGATTCCATGTGTCACAGATATAGAGCTTTTTTAATTTCTCCATTTAGTGTTTTTCTATGTGGTTTCTTAACTTAGCATTTCTCCATTAATTATCTTACTGACTTATAGTCATAGTTGCTAACATTTATTGGGCAACCATTATACAGTCCTTACTAAAAGTTTTGCATTGCACCCAGGGATGG